AAGGGATGAATATCTAAATGTTTTATAAAATATAAAAATCTTTGGTTTGAATCAATCACATGAGTTTTAATCCTGTTTATATAAGTCACAATATTTATTTATGTCTTGCTTGTATCCTCCCCCTAAAAACATTAAAAACATTAAGAGTGTAGGGGTATGAACTCACTGTTAGTTGCGTTCATACCTAAATGTTCGCGGCCAGAAAAGTGCAAATGAGGGGTAGGGGCTCATATATATAGGGGGTTTTCATGGTCGGTGGTGCGGCCACCAGCCGTGAACGGGTTTACGGCCGTGATCAGGTTCACGACCGTGAACACCACTCGGGACGGAATCCGCTGATTTTCGAAGGAAACTCGGGTTTTGCGTGATTTTGTTTCCGACTCTTATAAAAACGATCTTCTAAACCATAAGAATTTAACGGAGCAAATAAAATTCATAATTTATTTAACGGAAAACGGCTAACTTTAACGGAAAAATGTTCAGATTGTCACAAATGGTCTCTTAGTGTTTGGAGATGCGACGTGGGGGTGGGCACTGGATTAAGTCCCGATCATTTCAACTTTCATCAGATACACACCTTTGGTCCGTCCTTCCCATTTTCTTTTCAAGATTAGGCTACAATTTACCTTTTAAACCTTGATCCCATAAATTCCTTTCATAATAGATCCCTAAATTACCAATTACCCCCCCCCCCCCCCCTAAGCCTTCAAATCATTTCAATTTAAATTACCAACACCTTGCTATATAATTATTTATTTTAGGGCTACTATACACTCATAAATTTATTTATTTATTTATTTAATAAATGGGGGTGTTACACTTCCCCTTAATTTGACAGTATGCCAATTTCACCCTGTCACCATCATTGCACCACTTTGGGAGACGACTCGAATTGTTTTCAAACAAGTTGAGGGTATAAGCGTCTTTTATCTGTATATACATATAAGGATAATTATCAAAAACGAAAATAAAAAACACCCACAACCAACATGTGATGTGGAGGTAAATCACAATTAGGGGGCAAAAGTAAAACTGGCAGTGAATTCAGTAACTTGAATATAGTTTGCAAGATCACCAAAGAGTCCAACTGCTTTGTACATTTCAAGGATGAATGCAACACAAGATGCTGATTTTCCATCCATGTATGTCCAGTCATCCTGTTCAGGAATGGTTAATAGTTTCGCGAAAAATGATCCACGCCTTTCCACTTCTACCAAGATCTCCGGAAGGTCAAGATCCTACAAAGAAATAGCAACGTACTTTCATTGATTTGTTAACAAAGCATAATGCCTAATAAGAAAAAAAGTGAAAGTACAATGACTTTATATGATTAAATAACAAATCTGAGTACCAAGTCGCTTGTTCAAGGCTTCGTTCCATATTTTGGCAGAATATTCGGGTCGTACTTGGTTCCATATGGTCATAACAGAAGCAACCTGTACACCATAATCCAAAATACTTTTACACTTGCATAAATAAATAAAAAAATAAATAAGTACCAAATACCATTTTTCATTTTGTGGGACAAATTCAGTGAAAATACCAGATGAGCATCAAATGGTGGTGGATAATTTCCATCAATGGTGTCGATCCAGCTAAATATCAGATTATGATAACCGTATGGTTTTCCTATCATGCTTTTTGCATACTCTCATGCAGCCGTTTCATTGAACTTGGCCCGAACCTCCGGATGCAAAGGAAGCAATGCAATATGCGGATTTGTAGCTGCGGCGACACATAGATCGAAGCTAGGGTTTGTAGCGGCAGCGGCCTCTAAAAACCCTAGGATTTCAGGAAACAAGAATGACGACAACCTTTGAAAACCCACGGGTCTCCTTCTTTCCTTCTTCAAACTCGATTGAAGCCTACCTGAGGGTCATTTGACGGAACCAGGAGGGTCGTGAGACGGTGGGGACGGATAGAAACGGTGGTGAAGAGGGGTGGTAATTGGTGTTTCCAGTGGCCTTTTCTCGGTTGTAAAGGCCTCGTCAGGGTCTGTTATGGCATTGAGAGGTAGTAGCGGACCAAAGCGACGACGGGGGCGGAGAGTGATTTGGTCGCCATCGTTGTGTTTTGGTCTATAAAGACGAAGCTCATCGGTTCTCAGGAGGCGGCGGATCTAAAACCCTCGTTTCAGAGCTGGAACAAGACATCGTCTCTATTTCAGATCTCGATCTCCTTTCTCTCGTCGTCGATTGTCAAGGTTCAAAGGGAGGGAAACAACGATTGAAGCGGGTGGTGCTACCTGATCGGAGGGAGGCGGAGGGGCAGCCTAGGCCGACGACAACCGCCTTTCTTTTTCTTTGGGCGGTGGTAAGCAAGAAACGAGAGAGAGAAAGAGTGTGAGAGAGATAATGTGTGTGTGAGAGAGAGACAAAGAGTAAGAGAGAGAAAGTATTCTTTTTTCTTCTTTTTATTTCTATAAGACTAAACTACACAAATGGTCCTTGTGGTTTGCTCAAAATTGCCACTTTGGTCTAAAAAAGTTTGCACTAGCACCACAGGTCCAAAGTTTTCATTTTGTTGCGAGTTTGGTCCAATTTGCTTTGAACTTTTTCATTATGACGATTTTGCCCTTACTTTTTTCTTTTTTAGTTTTTTTATTTATTTAAATATTTTTCTGTTTAAAAGAAAAAAAAAATTGTCTTTGCTATTTTACTTTAATAATTTTTTTATAAAGAAATAAATAAATAAAATATACAATTTCTCTCTCTCTCTCTCTCTCTCTCTCTCTCTCTCTCTCTCCACCCACCGTCTTCCCCATCCCTCTTCCATCTTTGTGTTTCACTGTTGTTGCCAAGAGATACCCTCAAAGAGCATCTCCATCTCCAACAAAAAATTAGGCAAGTCGTCTACATCCCTGATCATCCCTCATCATCGCCATTCTATATATATATATATATATATATATATATATATATATATATATTATATATATATATATATATATATATATATCATTTCTTGCTTACCACCATCCAAAGAAGAAGAAACCGACGGCTGTCGTCGGCCTGGACCCCACTCTGCATCCCTTTGTTCAGGTAGCACCACCCCAAACACCCACTTCGATCGTTTCTACCCTCCCTTTGAACCTTGATAGCCGAAGACAAGAGAAAGGAGATCGAAATTTGAAGTTAGGGTTTCTTGGCGGCTAGGGTTTTCAGATGCGACGTTTTGCGACTGGAAATCAAGGGGCTAGACATGAGGTGAAGGGATGGGTGTTTGGTGGTAGGGATTGCTTTAACAGACGACTTTAACAAGGGTTAGATTGGTGGTGGTTCATCTTCGAGATCGATTTAGATGAAACTATGAAGAAGAATGTGATTTTATCATCATTTTGTCTTCCATGTCTACGTCGTGGTTCAGAGAAGACAAACCGACGGAGGTCAATCGAAATCAATCTCTCTACCTTGTCATATATGCTCCGAGATATGAAGACAAAACGAGATCTATTCGTGTATGTGTGTTTTCGTGTTTGAAGGCAATATATCGATTTCTTTCCCCTAAATCTAGTTCAAATCTTCAGTGGTGGTGGTGATATTTTATTTTATGAAAATCGTAACTATAAAGATGTGTTTTGATTTCTGAAATAGGTGTTCATGGATTTTTAAAGTGGTGTTCATGGATTGTATTTTATTTTATTTTTTTATTTTTGAAAAGAAACGAAGTGGTGGTGAAGAGAGAGAGAGAGAGAGAGAGAGAGAGAGTTTTGGCTTTTTAAATTTTTAAACAATTTTCTTTTAATCAGAAAAATATTTAAATAAATAAAAAACTAAAAAAAGAAAAAAGCAAGGGCAAAATCGTCTTTATAAAAAAGTTCAAAGCAAATCGGACCAAACTCGCAACAAGATGAAAAGTTTGGACCTCTGGTGCTAGTCCAAACCTTTTTGGACCAAAGTGACAATTTTCAGCTAACCACAGGGACCATTTGTGCAGTTTTGTCTTTCTATAATAAAAAATTTAAAAAAAGAAAATACAAAGGGCAAAATCGTCATTTTATTAAAAATTAAACCAAAATGGACCTAACTTGCAAAAAATGGAAGATTAGGGAAAATACCGGCTATAAACATTCTTTGGGGTTGAATTCCAAAATATAGACACAAAAAATTGGATTTCCGGGTATAGACATGGATTCCGCGGAGGTAAGCTATGAGGACTCCGCGGAATCCACTGTAGCTCCGCGGAATGGCAAAATCGTAAATAAATCAGGGTATTAAAAAAAACTCAAGATCCATTCCTTGGAGCTACCTCCGCGAAATGAGTTCATTCATCGGAGGTAGCTCCGAGGAATGGATCTTGAGGTTTTTTTTAATACCCTTATTTATTTACGATTTTGCCATTTCGCGGAGCTACAGTGGATTCCGCGGAACCCTCAGAGCTTACTTCCGTGGAATCCATGTCTATACTGGAAATCCAATTTTTTGTGTCTATATTTTGGAATTCAACCCCAAAAAATATCTATAGCCGGTATTTTCCTAAATTTTGGACCATTGGTACTAGTCCGAACTTGTTTGGCCAAAAATAGTAATTTTGGACATACCATAAGGACCATTCCTGCACTTTTGTCAAATAAAAATAAAAAAGTGGTTTAAAGGTACGTTGATTAGCAGCCAAAAAAAACGTGGCATTTTTCTTTAAAAAAAAGTAAGGGCATGGTTTTTCTGTTATTTTAATAAAAACTAATAGACCTGATTGAGGTGTATTTGGATCTTTAGAGATGACAATATCTAATGGAGATGGTGAGTGTGACTGGGGAGGAAGCGGCTGCGCACTCATTGCGCGTGATCTACGAAGGCGAGCGGCGGAGAGGCGGAGCCCTATTCTATTTGGAGTGACGACTATGTTCCATCGTGCGGATTGGAGATGGCAAGCCTGCAAAAAAGATTTGAGGCGTGTGTGTTACCGGTACAACAGTTGATACAAGAAGTCCTACATATAGAGAAGAGATTAGAAGCAGCAATACGCATACACAGATAAGGGATTTATTGACTTCAAATTCAATGGCGCTGATTATGAGCTTGAGTACGAGTGTGAGCGTAAGCAAGTGTTTGGTTCGTGTGGCTGTACCCCAGCATCAAACATGGAGAATGACTTCTCGGCCTACTAGAAACCTGGTCGTGGTGGCGATGGAGAAAAAACGGCCTCTTCTGGCTCTGGTCACAAAGGCACTCGGTGCCGATCATCGCTTCTCACACCCGGAGGATGAGGATGAGGATGAGGATTCCCTACTCTTGGAGTATAAGGTATTAATAAAAACATCTTTCTTGATAAAGTGTTTGATGTGAAATCAAAATACAATTAAGGTCATTATAATGTTAGTAATGATTGATGATTGTTTACGTTTGTAAGATTAGATCACATAATCAAACTGTGAAATGTAAAACTAGCAACCAAAAGAACAAATTTTTTTTTGCTCTCTTAGTATTTAAATGATTTGTTGAATGTTAAAATCAGAAACATTTTTGGCTCGTCATCTCTACATAATTTCTAGGTCTTCTGTCTGCCTTATCATATCATTTATTACAAACAGAAACAATAAACATTAAAACATAAAATATGAATATAAGGTTGTTTGTTTTATTAAAATTAATTGGGTTGTTGCAGAATTTTGCTGGAGAGGTGGTTGCATCAGCTTCATTTGCTGAAGCAATATGGTTTTACCCCTCAGAGGCAGTAGCAATTAATGCTGCCTTAACATATGCAGGAATGTTCCAAACTTTTGCACACAACAAGTTTCAGCCAACTGAATACATCTCTTTCTCTGATAACATGGTTAGTCCTAGTTTTCCACCCATGAGGAGCAATAATATTAGTGAGGCAGAGAAACTTATTTCTCAAGGAAAAGTTGCTATTGTCTTTGTGGACCCCATATATTGCAATGGAGAGATATGCAACTTTAAACAAGAGCAGCTGCAGTCTTTGAGGACTGCTTGTGACAAAGCAGGAGTACTACTCGCATTCGATGAGGTAAATGTAATTAGTTATTAGTTATTACTAGTATAAAATTATATATGAATGCTTATAATTCCAATTAATTGCAGTTTGAATCTGGGCTTGGTGTAACTGGGCGGCTTTGGGCCCACGAAGTGTTGGGTGTAAAGCGGGATCTAATGATGGTTAAATTCGGAAGTTTGGCCATACATGGTCTCTTGGTGAATGAAAAAATGAAAGCCCACATATGCAAATTCGAGGAGGATTATATCCCGGATGAATGCAGTGGAGTTTTAGAATGTTTCAGACTAATAGCCCGACCCGATGTTTTGGACATCACAACAAGAAAAGGCATATTCTTAAAAAACATTTTAAGTGAGAAACTTGGAGGAAAAGGTCATGTAAGAGAAATACGAGCATCCGGGCTTCTAGCTGCAGTGGAGCTAGATGTTGAAGCGCAACCTGTTGTTGATAAATGCAAGGAGAATGGTGTTCTTATAATATCAGCAGTTGGCAAAGAAAACAATATCATCCAAATCAATCTTTCATTTGGAATTGGTGTCCACGTTATGGAAACTATCGTTAATATCCTGCAGGAATGCCTCAAGGTTCTTGATTAGCTAGGAGGCTCAAATGTCAATGGTTTGGTTTGGTTGGGTTGGGTTGGGTTAATTAGACGAATGGTTTTTTGTTAAGACTAATTATTAGTGATTAACCCACTGTTTCTTTATTTTGGGTTCTATTGACTAGTGATTAATGGTTGACTTACGCTTTTTATTGTGTGTTCTATTTCTTTTTGTTGCTAATGCCGTTCAAATTTATCATTTCATATATTAATTTATTTATTTTTGTCATAACTTCTAGTAAGATATATAATTTAGGTTAGGTCGCTAACATTGTGCATATAGAAATGGCATCGTCCCAATAAAAAAATATGCTTTTAGTTTCCTTGTGCGCCAGAAGCTGTGGAGCTACTCAACAGAGTCCAACGTGTCATTCATACTAATGTTATGACTCCAAGATCTATAGATGTTTTTAAAAGAATTAGTTTTGTCATCCAAAAAGGGGTTGCGGAACAACTTGTTGCTCGTTTACCCGCTACGTCTATGTAAATCTTTCTTATGGAACTTCTTTAAATGAAAAAACAACTAATAAACTAAAAAATATTTAATCATAAAGGTTCTAAATTATAACCGATTGAAATCAATTTCACAAAAGTTTTTATTTTTAAGAGAAGATTTAATTGTTATTTTTATGTAACATATACGTTTTGAGATCGTGTTTTATATAAATAATATTATGAAATATTATGTGATATTGAGTATTGAGTTCTAACAGATAGTTTTTACTAGAAATAAGGTAAAACTAATGTTTAGAATCACTCATAAATTATTGGAAGTCTTATGAGATTCCAATTAAAAGCTAAATAGTGAAATTTAGCGAAAATATAAAACTTGAAATAAGTAAAATTTTATTGTTGAAAGTTGTAGATAATCTCGTTAGAAACATATAGGCGAAAACCGCATCGAAATCCGAGTTATAACGAAGAAGTTATGACCAATCAAAGATCCGCGATAAAACCGGCACGGTGCCGAATGACGTAAAAGTGAGTTTTTGATAAACTACTTTTTAGCCTTAGTGATCTAAATGAAAGTCGTAGTATTCGTTAAACCGAGAATTTCGATAAAAAGAACGCCAAAATCTGACTTCGTATGAGGAAGTTATGATTTTTACAAGTTTCAGCTTAGTAGTAGACAGCTAAAAACTCGAATTTTAGATCGAGTGATTTTTAGCCGACACAACCTAAACGAGAATCGAAGGTCTCGTCATTAGTAGTACAACGGTAAAAAGTCTGACGAAAACGGACGTCGGATGTAGAAGTTATGAATTTTTAACGGATTTACCAGTCCCGGTCTGTTAAAAAAAAATAATATAAAAATAAAGTCAAAATTTTCCGACGAAGTTTAACGAAGTTGTAGAGCATAATTTTCTCTACGCGTGCATATAAAGAACGTCAAAAACGGAGTCCGTATGAGAAAGTTATGGATTTTACAACATTGGGCACATTTTTCGAGAAATTTCGCATGAATAATGATTGCCACATCACCCTCGCTCGGAGTTGGCCACGTGTCCGAAGCTGCTGAGTGGCATGCCCGAGAAGCGACGCATGTCGCACAGATGTCCGAAGGGCCACGTGATCCTCGCATGCCACACGTGATCCGACCCTGTCCTCCTCCCATTGGACCGAAGCAGCCGACCCGATCCGAAGCCAGAAGCCGCGTCATCCGACCAATGCGAAGCGAGCACCTGTCCGTCCGAGCCTCGCCCTGCTGCAACCTGGTCCGAACCTCGCAGCCGCGTGCCCTCTTCCTCGCTTCGGATCCGAGGCTCGCACCTATATAAGGGGTGCGAGACCTCCCGGTTAGTTAGAAGTTTAAACTTGGCCTTTTTCACCCCTTTTCAACATTTTTCTTGCATTACGACTTCCCCCGAAGCCCCGGTACTTATTCCAAAGCCCCGAAACGCGCCCCGAGATTTCCGAGAAGCCGAAAAATTTATCTTTTCGGTTTCGAAGCTCTACCTTCGCAGAGCCCGGTTTTCAAGAAAACTCCCGGTTTTCAACGAAAAAAGTCATATTTAAAGCCGAAGTGCTGCCCAAATTACTATTTTGACCCCCGGTTATTTCTCGGTGAGTTTAATATATAGGAACAATTGTATGTTATGTGTTATATGTGCTATGTGCTTTTCCATGTTATCATCTCGAGTTGTTGTATCTGCTATTTTATAGCAAGGTTGTACCTCTGACTTGAAGTGTATGACATAAGCATCACTTGGGTATTGGTATGAACCGTTGACCATGAAGTGTATGACATAGGCATCACTTTGGCTTCGGTAGTATGCTAAGATAAGGCTGAAAGCCTAAATATTCTAGCAAAATGATATTCTTAAGTATTTACTGTGCCATTTGTGCTGAAACTTTATTGATTTTATATCAAGTATGGAATTTGTTATGTCTCATTGATTAATGTGGAAAGCTTTTCGCATTATGCCTTTGTTGTTCCTTGTTCCTCTTTGCTTCTGGCATATTACAGTATATATATGGCATAACGTTATATTGTATCTATTATTGAACTCACTAAGCGCCACCGCTTACCCCTCTCAATGTTTAACTAATTTGCAGGAGATAAGCATCCAGTATAGTTATATACTGGTAGCAGATTTTTGAATAGTTTGAAACTACTGTATTGATAGAAGATTTCGAATAGTTTGAAACTATTGTATTTTGCACTCCCATATGTATAATCTATAGAATCCTGGGAAGTTATGTAATATATAACACTATAAGATAGTGGGTTTTTATCCAGTAGTTTGTAACCGTTTTTATCAATATAAAATATTGTTTTATGAATATGCATGTAGCATGTTCGGAATAACAACTGTCAAATATGAAAGTTTGGGTCTTTCAGAAATATGAAAGTATAGAAAGGGGTTCTTCGAGAGACTCTCGAAGAACACAAAAAGAGTGGTGATAAAGGAAAAGAGAAAGCCACTAGAGAATCTTCGCGAGGAGAGGTGAAGCGTCCCTCGTTTAAAGATTTCAAGAGTAGCGGTGCTACAGAGTTTTCTGGTGTTCTTAATCCAATTGTTGTTCTTACTTGGATCCAGAACACAGAAAAAGTGTTTCGTATTTCTCATGTAGATGCTGAAGACAAGGCTAACTATACTTCTGCAATGCTCATCGGAGAAGCCTTGGTCTGGTGGGAAGCAACCTATGAAGCTCTCAGCAGTTTGACCAGGAGAATTTATCCTGGGAAATGTTCAAAACTCGTGTGCTAGAGAAGTACTGTCCTCTAGACATGAGGAGGAGGTTGGAGAAAGAATTCCTCGAGCTTAAACAGGGAGGAATGACTGTGAATGAGTATGAAACTCAGTTCAATCAAAAAGCACGGTTTGCCGTAAAGTATATTCCAACTGAAGATGAGAAAATTCAGTTATTCTTAGAAGGACTATGGCACGAAAATCACGATTTCGTTGCCAATCGGGAAGTACTATCATTGATAAAGCTGTTGAGTATGCTCGAAAGCGTGAGCATGACTTAGAAATACGTGGTGCCACTCTTACTGTTCCGAAACATCCACGTACTGAAAGGACTGCTCCTGCTTCCCCTATTCCACCAACTCAATCCGTTCGATCTGAACCTAGCAAGCAAATACAATCTCAGAGTGCTTTTCGTGGCCGCGGCAGGTCACAATCTTTTTCTCTTCAGTCGCCAGCTTGTCGAAATTGTGGAAAGAATCATCCGGGCGAATGCAGACTAGAGGAAAGAACCGTGGTTGTTTTGGATGTGGAGAAGTAGGACACAAGAGGCCCGTGTGTCCAATGAAGGTGTTTATGCTTTGCATGTGGTGTTACTGGCCACAGGAAGCGTTTTTGCCCCACTCTTACTAGTCAGATGACGGGAAGTCAAGCTTCTGTTCAACAACCGGCGAAAAGTCAAGCTTTCGTTCAACAACCGGCGAAAAGTCAAGCTCCTGTTCAACAATCAAGGGGTACTCCAACTAAAAAGGAGGAGGTTCCAAAAGCTAAGGGTCGTGCATTCCAGATCACCACAGAAGAGGCACGCGAGGACCCGAATGTTGTGACGGGTACATTTCTTGTTAACTCTAGACCTGCTCACATCTTATTTGATTCTGGTGCCTCAGATTCTTTTGTGTCTTATGAATTTGCGCATTCTTTTCAAATTGCTTGCTATGCACTCGCGCAACCCTTTCACGTAGAGACTGCTGGAAGTATATCATTACTTGCCGATAAAGTCTATAGGAATTGTGTTATAGAAATTGAAGGCTACAATTTTCTTGCTAATCTAATTCCTATCTCCTTGCCCAACTTTGACATTATTCTCGGCATGGATTGGTTGTCGAAGAACCACGCAGACCTTTGTGTTATGAAAAGATAGTACGTATTCCCATTGAAGGGGAGAATCCTATCTATGTTTATGGTGAACAAGGAACCTTAAAAAATAATATCTTTCCTTAAAGCCCGTAAATTCATATCGAAAGGGTGTTCTATCTATCTGGCCTACACAGTCGATGTCTCAAAAGAAGATAAGAAAACGGTGAATGATGTTCCCATTGCTAAGGAATATCCAGATGTTTTCCCGAAGAATTGCTTGGACTTCCTCCGGACAGGCAAGTAGAATTCCGAATTGACCTTGTGCCTGGTGCTGCTCCGATTGCTAAGACTCCTTATCGTCTTGCGCCAGCTGAGATGAAAGAAATGATGATCCAACTGCAGGAATTACTTGACAAAGGCTTTATCCGACCAAGTACCTCTCCCTGGGGTGCTCCGGTATTGTTTGTAAGAAGAAGGAGATCGATGCGGATGTGCATTGATTATCGTGAGCTGAATAAGGTGACTATCAAGAACAAATATCCACTACCTCGCATCGACGATTTGTTTGATCAACTTCAGGGTGTTAGCTATTTCTCAAAGATTGATCTAAGATCTGGCTATCATCAGTTGAAAGTTCACGAGCAGGATGTACCGAAGACTGCTTTTCGTACTCGATATGGGCATTACGAATTCCTTGTTATGCCGTTTGGTTTAACGAATGCTCCTG